CATCCCTGGATAGCCTTCTGGTATTAGCAGCCGTCTGATATCTTCTGATGAATTGGGATCGAGCTTGGGTTTTCAGCTCTTGATCCAATTCGGCCTCGTTCTTTGTATACTTCTCAAGCAGACGCTGCTCATTGGTAATTTGATTATCCAGGATAGACTGTTCTTTCCTTAGCTCCCGCAATTCTGCCTCCTTTTTCTGAATGGATTCATCAACTTGAGCCTTCGTGCTAAGGAGACCGCCCAGCCTTCCAGTAGTCTGCTGAAGGGATTCTCGGGTCTTAGCCAAAGAATTCTCCAGTGTTGTTTGATCGAAGACAGGCTGGGGGGTTTCGGCTGACAGGAGTCCAATAACTAACACTTCAGTCTTGAGCTCCGTAAGTCTTTCCATCAGCCGATGCAGAATGGGGACGGCTGGCGATTCCGTCGGAGTGTAAAAAAGAAGGCCACCAACCGTCTGAATGAGTTTGTCCAATAAGTCGGACCTTAATTCTGAAAGGGGATGGTTAACGGCCTCAGTGAATATAGTTTGGGCCTCCGCTGGAACCGGAACAGTCGATAGGATAGCTAAGTCCGAAGGCCCCTGCAAGTCGTACAGTTTCAATAAGTATTCCAAGGGAGGTGCAAAATTATTCAGATAAGATATGTGTCACCTCTGGGCGAATTGCTGTCAGTGAGGGGGGCAATAATGAGGTCGGTCGAGTAGGGCGGACAGCTGGTATAACAGCAGCCGACTCGTCGGCTGCTGCGAATGGTCGCTGAGGTGCCGACCTGGGTCCCTATGAAAAGTAGTATATAAAACAGTTAGTGTTTTCCGAAAGAAACATTGTGGCATGAATTGGTTTAATCTTACCAAATTCACAGAAGTCTCCGAATCGGACGAAGACACTTCTTCTATTTCTGGAGGTTGGGCTGCCACATGTGGTTCTTCTGCCTGCCACTCGATTGCTGGAGGTAGCACCGCTGCTGGCTGAGCGGCTGCAGGTTGGGCAGCTGCGTCTAGGGCCACTGCAGCCGGTATCTCAAGAGCAATTGGGATAGCCGCAGCTGTGGCACTTTCGGTTTCCAGCGCGGCTGCATCCGATTGGACTATTTCGGGATCAGCAGCAGCAGGGATGTCGTCTTGAGGGTCAGCTTCGGCAAGGGCAGCTGGTTCTTCCTTCGAAATGGATGAGTCTGATGCCATGTATGGCGGTCGACCCATCTGGGAAGTAGTCCCCTCGCTGTCTGAAGAGACCCCTGCTGCTGATGCGATTGGTGAAGGTGTCTGTAAAAAATTATGGAAATATTGTTGTTGAATACACCAAGGTTGATCATGGGAATCCTAAGTATTGCTGATAAGAGGACTTACTGGTTCTATAGGCAGTGCTGGTAAAGATTGCCTCCTGGTCGGGTGCCTGGCCCGACCGCTCCTCGGTGCAGGAGGAAGAGTTTGCCTCCTTGTCGGGTCCTCCGCCCGACTGCTGATGGGCAAAGTGAGAAGTGGAGTAGGGGTTTGGAGAGGAAATACCTCAGTCTGGACCAAAGGTACGATTGAATGGTCGGCTGGGGCTGGCGTCATTTGTGTGATCGGTGTTACCAAGGTCGGTTCTGGTGAATGAAGTGAGTGAGATCAAAGTTAAGCTATAGTGAATTGGTTCACGGTTTTAAGAAAAATTACCTATTCGGGGTCGGGTCCTTGCTGATGTCCTAGTAGTTCCAAGGTCTGCCGGAGCTTGCTAGTCGGCCCCAGAGGTCGGGGGTGTCTGCAGCTGGGAAGCTTTCCTTTTTCGCATTGGAACGCTAGATCCGATTCCCGGGGCGGCTGTTTGTTGTTGAGTACTAGTATGTCTAGCCGCCCCTAGAACCAATCCTTGGGAGGGAAGGAGTATGTTCAGCAACCGATCCTCATCAGGGGAAATCAGGGGCCATACAACCGACCACCATTCATTGAATGTATCTACAGTCTCAGGGTTGGAGCGGAAAGGAATATAAGAATTGGAAATTATATACGTGGTGAGCTGGGAGATATAAGAAGGGATTGAATTAGGTAGGACTCGTCGGTCAGGACTTTGAAAAATTATATGAGGACGAGCGACGGGTCCAGGGATACCTTGGCAACAGCCGAACTGACGCGCCATGAATTGAGGTTCATAATTAAAGGTGCAAAAAGTTTTTTGCCCTTTTTTATCAAGTTTTTTGCTGCTAAAAAGAGACCTGGGTTTGAGGGCAACGTCCCAGGCAAAAGGATAGGTGGGATGAGGACAAGGCTCAGGAGTCGGAAGAGGATTTGGTGCCGGAAAAGGCCAAAAGTGGTCGGGAGCATAACCCGCATATTTTTTGTACATAGAAAATCGAGAGTTACTGCGGGTATCTGTTAAAATTGTGGTTATTATCGGATCGGAGGATTGGAGTTTACTGCGTCCTGAGCAGAGTCGGTTGAGGGCTAATCCCAAATGTTTTTCGGATGTTGGCATAGTGGGCGGAGATCCTAAGTTGAACGCGTTGGGGAAGTAAAGACGGGACCAAAGTTCTAAAAACCAAAAAGGACCCGATGCGGCAGTGTCTAATTTTCTATTATCATTATCTGTTAAACGAAGGCTAACCCTGGTGAGTCCTTCAAACAGATTGGCTAAAAACAGGGTGCCAAGGGAAAAGAACCGACCTGACGCGATATGAATGGCCAGGTCGAGATGAGAAGAAAGAACGCATTTAGAAGGGGAAACAATGACGTACCTACAAAGCCAAAAAAGAATAAAGGCAGTATGCTCCCGGTCGGTCACGGGGGTCCCTGGAGCCCCTTGCTGGTCGGTTGCGAACTTTGTCCAGCCCCATTCCTTCACGCCTTGTAAAGACCACCCTGGATGGTCTTCTGGTGGCTCCTGCCCATCTAGGGCTCCCATCACAGGGTCTTCACCCACGACTGGGAGATGCGCGATCATCGCCACATCCATGAGAGTCGGACCAAAGGGGCCCGACGGTAGAAGAAAAGTCCCATTTTCCGCATTCCAGAAGGCAGACATGGCTAGGAGCACCTTCTCGTGCAGATTGATCGGCATGGTGGACAATAGTATTGCTTGGTCGATTTTTTGAGATCGCCATTGGGTCTGGAAGTGTTCCGCTACCCGTCGATACCAAGAGCGGTAAGGATCTTTTGGGTCTGTGAGATGGGTTTTGATGCTGTCTCGAATGCGAACTGCTTGGTAGTTAGGGTTGTTGATAGCCAAGGAATTTCGGGATTCCAAAACTTCCCTCATCCGGTTTGAGTCTTCAGGAGTCGTGCAGTATGGGCGGATCGTCGGAGTTAGTACTTTCGAGGCTGAAAACGGGCCTTCTGGGAGGGTTCCGTCGAAGGGAAGGGCAGGAATGTATCGATTCGCCATGGTTAGAGTGGTTGAATTGTGATTCACAAAGGATCGTATTGCAGAGAAGGAAGTTAATCAGGAGTGTTACAGTAACTGGTGCAGTTGCTAAGGAAATTTTTCAGAGGATGGTGATTTATGAACTTCCAAACATCGATTGATAAATGGCGTTTGAAAGTCCCTCGGCGGCGGGCAAGTTGTTATGTATGAAATTTAGAATTAGGTTAAAAAGCCCAAGGTAAAAGAAAAATGGGCCTGACATTAGAGTTGGTTGAACTGGCTCAAGGAAAATAGGTTTATTTCTAAGGAAAGTCCTCAGGACGGAAAGACCTCAGGTCGGAAGGTCTTCAGGTCGGTAGGTCCTCAGGACGGAAAGTCCTCAGGACGGAAGGACCTCAGGTCGGTAGGTTCTCAAGACGGAAAGACCTCAGGTCGGAAGGTCTTCAGGTCGGTAGGTCCTCAAGACGGAAAGTCCTCAGGACGGAAGGACCTCAGGTCGGTAGGTCCTCAAGACGGAAAGACCTCAGGTCGGAAGGTCTTCAGGTCGGGAGGTCCTCAAGACGGAAAGTCATCAGGACGGGAAGTCCGCAGGTCGGGAGGCCCTCAGGACGGGAAGTCCGCAGGTCGGGAGGCCTTCAGGACGGGAAGTCCGCAGGTCGGGAGGCCCTCAGGTCGGGAAGTTCTCAGGTCGGAACTCTGCGGCAGGACCAACAAATCGGATGGTTTGTTAGTCGGGATGTCTGTAGCTAATCCAAACAAGTCAGATGGTTTGCAAGTCGGGAGGATTGGCAGTCGGACCAATACGGTTGTAGATTGGCAGTCGGGCCTAAAGGGCGGAAGGTCTGTGGTCGGCTCAAAGAGTGAAATATAGGGATAATTTTGGTCTGTTGAGGACACGTGTCAGCAGGAGAAGGGTTGGAAGACGGTTGGGAAGGAGACGTTGTAACCGTTCGGGTGACGGTTTTCAGTACGGTTTCCCAGAGAATATTTAAGGATTTGGATCATCATTTGGCAAGGCATCTTCAATCAACTTCAACAAAGCAAAGTCAGATTTGGGGATCACCACTTTAAATTTCAGTCTTTTATTTTCCAGTTTATTTTCTGTACCATACAGTGTTTAGAGATTCCTAATCTCAGGCACTAATTAATCAAGTTTAAGGATATTTTCTATATCTTTGAATTTTACTTTATTTTTGTTGAAAAATTACATCAACAATATGTTTTATCCACTTATAAAGAAGACAAAACTATCCATAATTCTCCAGGGATTTTGAAACTCAGATTAAGTCCCCTTTTATTTTAAAAATTACGTAGCGTCTCTTTATAAAATGTTATGAAACCTATATGTGATTTCGAAACTCAGCATAAATCTCCATTTTACTTTAAAAAATGCATAATACCTCTTATATTTAAAAAATATTTTATAAAACTCCTATCATACAAAAAATATAAATAGAATATCATCTTCTCATCACACAAGAAATAGTAAGAATTTCATACAATTTTTTTAAAATAGAAAATAACACTATACAAACTTTAAAGTACGTAAAGTTTTTACGCTCAATTTTTAAATCACAAAAAGTTATGGACAATTTTACCTATAAATAATTAACCATTTAACACAAAATATTATTTTATATATTCCTAATACAATTCGCAATGTGTAACGTAAAAAATACATCCTTTCTAAAAAGAAAGTAGAGGGAAAATGTATGTGATGTCATAAGTATTGAGTATCACATAAAAACATTTACAACTTACAACATTAATTAAGTTCTGCAAAGTTTCCCTTCTCAGCTATGTTAGTTTAGTTAGGTACACAACATTATGAAACACAATGTTGTCAGAAGGGGGCCACTCTCTCTCTCTCTTTCTCTCATTGTGCTGCCTATTGTGCTGCCTTAGCTGCTTCTTTTTCCAACTTATTCTTAGTTTTCTTTTTCTTTTTCTTTTTTTTTCTCTCGTTTTCTTCTTCGTACGATTGACCTGTCACACGCCGCTTGCAGAGTTCAGCCGCCTTATTCTCTGGTCGAGCTCAGCCATGACTGCCGGCTCCTGCTTTTTCCGTTGCTTCCATATAAGTGTGCTACTCATAAACCCGCTGTTGTCAAAGGCTGCCTACAAAAGATGAAACACATTCGCATCAGACGGCCGAATAGTCAGCCCCTTCATGTCTCAGTTTAGCTATTATCTATGATTTTCAAAAGCTGCTGTAAATATAATAGTATGAAGAAAGTCGGGTTTGTTTGCCCAGCAATTTATTGACGAACATAGTTCCAATATAAAACAAAAGGGTGACTGCGCGTCCCAAACAACCAACACGATCGTATTGGGCTCAACACAACGTGTTGATTACGCTGCACTGAACATAGGCATGAACACTGGCGTGTTCGTATTTCATGCCCTTGTTCTGAACACAACTATGTTCCTAACCATGTTCATTTTCCCGCCCATGTTCATGACCCTGTTTTCAACGGGCTAGTTCCTACCCATGTCCATAACCCTCTTTTCAACACAGCTATATCTATGTTCACGATCTTGTTCTCAAAATAATTTTTACTCTCCAATATATATAATATATATTTTTTATTTTTTCACAAAAGCTAAATATTCAATATAAAATATTATGTTTTATATTATCAGCACAATCCTTCGTATCCCATCTAAAAAAAATACTTTCAAATTAAAACACTAAACAAACAACATTGTTCTCGTCGACAACCTCTTTCATTTTTCATCCCGATAATCTGGGCTTTGTTAGTCGATGATACGTTTGTCCATTCCATATAATTTCATGCTTGACTCAAAACCCGGATGGAAATAAACGTAAATATAAAATATGTATTTTAATATAAATACTCTTATGTAAAATTCAATGAATATTATATACCTTGGTACAACAAAAAAAAACAAAATTTCTATTTGTTAATTTTGTACACCTAGAAAGAAGTTATATACCAATTGAATGAAACTGTGGTGAATTAAATAATAGACTTTACATGAAATATCTTGTACATTTAAAATGCAACAAACTTAATTTACTCACTAAACATCAAAGAAACACAGCATAAATATTCAAACTTCCTATTATAATTAATCCACTTGATTCAAATTCAGACATCACATACCCGGGCACACGAAGCCTCAATAAACTTCAACTTCATATTGCATAAAGAATCACTACGTACTTGGCAGACAAAAGAGCAAAAAATATACAAAAATAAACAACCAATTACAGATACTTAGATTTAATCAGTACTATACTAAGACCACAGAGTAAAAGTATACACAGCACGTGTCCTAATTAACTTTGGCCCAAAATGGCATGTTAACACAATACAAATACTAATAGCACATAGTAATATTCCTATTCCACACAACATATACCACTATTGATTTCAAATTAACACATATCGCATATACATAATATTAAAGAACAGAAGTGTGTTTGTTTGAAGGATTTTGGTGGACTTCTACTATTCATCCCATTTTTTCCCCCTAAAAACATCAAATCAAACACCTATTTTTCATTTTTTATATTATACTAAAGATCACTTTTACATTCAAAACATCACATCAACACCTATTTATATCACATGATACAACTTTTCAAATTCAAATTTTTTTACTATTCAAATCCCAACTCAAAATCCAAACCCCCAAACAAACACACCCTATAATTGATTAGGGCAAATCACTAGTCATATATTGTGTATACTATTATCATATGTGACTAGGGCAAATCACTAACCATAATAAATGCTAATCAACACCCTAACCGTTCCCACACATACATAATTATGGTCCATATATTCTGTCATTAGAAATAGAAAACCACTTTTAAAAAGCATATTATTCATATGAAAAAAAAAACATATATGTGGTCCACCAGCTTGTCATATTTATGTGAAGAAGGAAATGCTCAAGAGTGAGAATAGGAATGGTACCGTTAATAATTCATCGGGTTCGAAGAGGTGCCGAGTAGTTCTTTGTATCACACTTATCACATCACCAACGTGATGTGTCACGAGCAACTGTGGTTCACACATCTGCATTCTCAAAGACGGCCGACATCCTTATTATGATTTTCTTCATGTTTGGAGAACTAAACGATATAAAAGAGTAAGTGGTCTTGGAAGCCATCTTACCTTAAAAATTGCCAATGCTACATTAAATAAGACCTTTGCCCCTTCATAGAAGAGCACATCCCACACCCGCATTGTCGTCTGCGGAAAAATGAGAAAAGCCATGATGGTTGAGTGACAAAGAATTTTAGCTGTTTGCTCTCAATTAGATAGCTATATATATATGTGTGAATTAATGTAAAAACCTCCGAAGGCAAGCTTTTAGAAAATAGACATAAAAACCACTCTGTGCACACGAGAGAAACATCAAAGTCCAAAGATTCAAGATGTGTCGCAATCCTGCATTACATAGTTTTTGTTACTCCAATTCATAAAATGATTAAAGACATGGCAAAAGACATATTTATCTTCCCACACAGATTTTTGTTTTTACAAGCAATTTCACAAAAATGCCCAAGGGATTATTTGGTGATCTTTTTCCGTTTTATTAAGAATTTGTCATTTATCCGTGGGACATGAAAATAAAATGACCTCGGGCACTTTTTAGTCAACAGATCTTTAAATACTCGTTGTTCGACATGGCATCCGGACAAGTTGTTTGTGTAACAATCGTTAACCAAGACGTTTTCCAAGAGAACTGCAAGCATCCAGAAAGCCTCTTCTTCAGAGTTCATCACAAGCAACAATAGTGCTGCAACGTAATTCAAACCCTGCACCAAAATCAGAGCATGGCATTTGGGACATATTGCGGAGAAAGAACTCGAAAAGAGCCTTGGTAGGATGAAAAAAGCCCACCTGACAATAGCCAACATCCGAGTCCCGGAAAGAGTACCCAACGAGAACTCGCCGTAGAGCTGCATGTCCATCTGCGGTGTCCAACCACGGATGGCCAGGGAAAGTTCGAGGCAGGTCCTAGAATCAAATTACAAGAAAATCATTTTGAGAATGAACTCCTAAACAATAAAAGATACATATATATATATATATATATGTCTACAAGTGGAAAACTCACAATCACAACACGCTTTTACTACATCAATATTTCATACTAAACTCAAATACATGCGGACATTCGACAACATCAGGTTTCTTGAAATCTGTTAAGAATGAATTACAATGGACAACCTTTTGACTTCATCAGAAAGAAATAATGGCTAACCAGAGCTGAAGAAGATAGTGTTTGATATGAGATGCAAATGATATTACATATATCAATAATTCAGATCTCGTGACAAATTCCCCAAATTTCAAAGCTCCACGCGAATAGAAAATTGTCTTAATAATTCCTAGTAAAATAGTTAAAATGCCATCACTGACAACACAATGCAGATCAAACAATAACAGGGAAATTAGATCAGGAAATAATAAAGAAACACCGCAATCGAAAACACAAACAAGAAGAAATTCAAAATTGTAAAATGAGTAATATTGAAAAGTTGAGCAGTGACTACTGACATGATCAATCTGCTTGGTAGCAGCAGTGACTTTGCCAACAACAGCAGCAGTCAAATCAGCGTAATAACTATCAGGCACAGTGGACTTCTTCTTGGCTGCGCCAGAGAGATTGAACCAAATCTTGGGCCTGAGATTGGGAGGAATGCCTTTCCTTATGAGCTTCTTGAGAGTGATGGAATTTACCAGAGAAGAGATTTTGAGGGAAGACTTGAGGAGGAGCCTGGATGAAGGAGATGAATTGGAGGAGGAGGAGGAGTCATGCTCCTCCTCCAGATACCAATTGGATCCCTTGTCTGCCTCCAAACCCCACCAAACTTTGCCCTGCTGCCTCACTTTTTCCCTAACCTCATTCAACACATTCACGTCGTCCACGTTACCCTCCACCGTAAACCCGTACAGATCTTGGAATTTCACCGTCATGTTGGCCCGCCGGCTATGGATGCTCGGCCGGAGGATGGGGATTTGGGATTGGTACTCCATCGCCATGTCCTTCTTGCTCTGAGCCCCACTCATCATTCCGTACATCATTTCTTTTGGATAGGGTTTGTTCGATTTAGAGAGGAGCCAACCTAGGGATTGAAATTGGAGGCATTTATTTGATTGTTGACTTGAATCGAATTTGGAGGAAACGGTCAGCCCTGTCGACGATTGCAGGAAAGCAAGCGAGGAGCAAGCTTCACGATAAAGAATGAATGACTGGAGGGAGGAGGAGAAAACAAAAACAAAAACAAAAACAAAAACAAAAACGAAAATGGTGGGGTCTTGGATTTCCCGTAAATCTAAAGTACACAATTGCAAAAGGAGGGAGGCGAGGCTATGGTGAGATTTGAATTAGTACAACAACAATGGGGAGAAAGCTCTTGGATCTTTGTCTGTGTTTCCCCAGACAAACCAGATCAGATCAGCAGAGCAGTTCTCGATTAAACAACTCAAAACCCCACTCCATTCCAGCACTGGATAATTGCTCGCTCGATTGGAGAAGAAGGGTTGAACGTTGAAGACAAATAGGGAGAGAGAGAGAGAGAGAATGAATGCGAAGAGGGAAAGTGGAATTTGATAGAAGAAGAAAGAAAGGACTCACTAAAATTAATTGTGAATGTATTTTTATTTATTATTGAATTGGTCCGTCCGTGTAAGAGTGGTGCTCAACATTTCATGGAATGCAAAAGTAAATTCGATGACGTGGATGGGATGGGATGGGAGATTACTAGTGACCATTATTGGGAGACACTTGTTCTAATTTCAAATGATACCATCGACAATTGAACTCCACATCAATCATCTTCTTCGAGCTATTTTTGCATCTCGTCAACAGTACCTTGTTTCTCTCTGCTCTCTCTCTTCTTTTGCCAGCCAAGTCAATCCATTATCCTTTCTCTTCTTTCTCCAACTCAGCTCCCTACCCACCCATTCATTCTCTTTCTCATCTTTTCTTTCACAACGAGGGTTGGCCCCAAGCCTTCTTCAGTTGAAACAAAAGGAACAAGTAAGAAAGGGGAAAGAAAGCACAGTCGCCATGGGACTTCTCGAGCTTATGAATCGGTGGACAAAGACCATTCTCGATGGATTTGATTATAAATATCGAAAGCTCGCGAGTGAACGACTCGATATCATGATTGTGCTTGTTACTCTATGTTCATTGTGTGTCCGATCTATTGGTTGAACAAAATCTTTATTATGCATTATATAAGTACTTAATATATCATGATACAAAATCTTTATTATGCTACCGAACAACTTATTTCTTATAGCTAAACATTATAGTGTTTTCATATTCTTAATTTGTAGCTTCCATCATAATACAATAGGGTGGTGGCATGAAATTGTGTCAATATTTTTCTGAATGCAATTAAATTATCATCAATAACATTGTTAGCAATGTTGATTCTGGTTCATTTCTTTACATTTATTTCAAAATTGAGGTAGCATTGAAAGGTTATCGAAGCTCTCCGAAAAGAAAAGAAGATAATATTGTATCGCACAACACAATTTTTTTCACCATCCGCTAAACAGGCATGGAGCTACAACTACTTAAGTGATCTTTCTGTTAGATTTAGTGTGGCATTATTGTAGGCCCTTGTTATCCCATAAAAATAGATAAAAGAATAACAAGTAGGGATCAAGCATCAAGAATCGAAATCATACTTGGAAAATAGGAGTAGGGGTGATTAGTTTTCGGGTCACAGATGGATGCAGAAGTCGTCTGGACTAATGCAGAAATCGTCCGGACTAATGTAAAAATTGTCTGGACTGATGTAGAAGTCGTTTAGACTAATGCAGAAATTGTCCGAACTGTTGCAGAGGTCGCCCAAACTAATGCAAAAGATACTCGAGCTCATGCAGAAATCACCCGAGTATTGCATAAGTCGCCTGGATTGGTGCGAAAGTCATTTGCAACAATGCGAAAGTTGTCCGGGCTGATGTAGAAGCTGTCTGGATAGAAGGAACGGCCCCATGATAAGTGTGCAGGTGGTGTTAGTTGATTGCAGAAGGATTAACGTGTGTTTCAGGAGGTTTGGGCATGTACTTCGGGAGATTCAAGCGCTATCAGAATTAATTTACGAAGGGAGAGGCGTGTGATTTTGTATATCAGAAGGTTGATATATTTTAGATAATTCGGGCACTGTCAGATTTAATTTACATAGGTGTGGACGTGAATTTGGATTTCAGAAGGTTAAATATATTTGAAAATATATTTAAAAAGGTCTAGGCATATTTTACAGAAGATCAAGTATATTTACAAAGAAGGTCTAGGCATATTTTACATAAGATCATATATATTTACAAAGATTATGACGTACTTAAAAAAAAAAAAAAAGTGTCCCCAACATTAAAATAATATATTTATGATTTTATCAGATCTATTTTAGGAAATGATTTCTAAATTTAAAAAATTAGAAAATATTTAATTGTATTTATTTCTGTATCGAAGAGTTGCAGAGTAGAAGGTTGCGTTGATTTGCACGCATCGTTTAGATTTTATAAATAGGCATTGTAATCATTGTAAAAATTTAGATTCAACATCTCAATCAAATTTATTATTTTCTTTTATTTGTGCAATTTATTTTCAATTTCTCGCATTTTCTTCTTCTTCCCTAGTTTCTTACTATCAAACGTCTGGGCAATGCGTTTGGTACGAATTAAAGAGTTAATCACTCTAAATTTTTTAGAAAGAAGCCCTTGGTGATCATCCGTTTGGAAAAGTTCAACCCACGGTAACAATTTGGCACGCCCAGTAGGACAAATTAATTTGTTCATCACGGATTCTGAATTCATCAGACTACGATCAAGAAGACTTATGTGTCGCCTGATGGCTCGTTCTGAAATAGTAACTTCAGCGGAAGAAACTAATGTCGTCCAAATGACATCCTCAAGTCTTCCACCACCCCCAGCACCTATCCCAGAAGGATTCACTCCGACTCGGGTAAAAAGGCCGGCGCCATCTCATGGCCAGAAAGCATCAAATATAGCCATCCATGGCAGTACGGCAGTACTATCCGAAGGAATTTGCCAACAACTCATCCATAGTTTTCTGGCTACAACCTAACGGATAGCGAGCACAGCCCCACCGAATGCTAAAATCAAATGCGATATTGGAACATATCAATTATGGCCACTTACTTCGGCCAACGCTGGCCGCAAGTTTCTGTACAATTATTTACATACGCCACCACTACCCAAACTTATGGTGCGCCTCAAAACACAGGGCACGCCCAGAGCTATTATGCTCTGGCGCCAATGCACAATGGCGAACCATATCCGCAGCCTATTCATCAACAACGGATAACTCCACCATACACAACATCCCCGGAGCTGTGCCCTACATTCACCAGCCTCAGGCACCCGTGGCTCAAAGACCTAATGTTATTTTGGAACCACCACAGTGGAATCCACAACATGTGGTACAACTTGCACAAGAACATCCCGATGTCGTGCAAATGGTGCAAAATGTAGTATGCCAACACCTTGGCGCCCAAGGCCAAGGGCCTCACTGTCTTGCATACCGGAAGCCTTTCCTAGAATGGGTAGAACGCAATTTTACGGAGAAGATGGCCAGTCGTCTGTTGAACATTTGGCCAGATTTACAATCCTAATTGGGGAATTGTCCCTTCATGAATTTTACAAACTACAATTGTTTCTGTTAATTCTTACGAGAACTGCCTTTACTTGGTACTCATCCTTCTGTACTGACTCCATTAAAAACTGGACTCAAATAGAGCGAGAATTTCATGACAGATTTTACAGCCCTATATCAAAAACCACACTTACAGATCTTATGGAAACAAAACAAAAATTTGGAGAATCGGCCACATCCTTTATCGAAAACTCAGACAGACTAAGGCTCGATGCCCAGTGATCAATAGTGAGTCCAAGCTCGCTAATATTGTAATTAAGAACATGATGCCGCATTTTTTAGACGCGCTTACGGCTCATAAAGTTCAAAATTTGGCACAATTGACGACTAAGGCTGCACGTCTGGAATGTCTTTTCCATGAAGAAAAATAGCAGAGGTAAACGAGCTGGACATCAGGTAGCCGTAATCGAAGTAGAAGAGGCGGTAGATGGATACGAACTCCCGGATATTATCAAAGAAGCAACAACAAAGTTAGTACCAAGCAAATCGTACACTTGCTCCAACCTCAAACCCCAGAAGGGTAAAGATCTTCTCAAACTCCAAAATAAAGATTGTTTGTTCGATGTTACACAGGCCGATGCCATTTTTGATGAACTTTTGAAAGATTGCTAGATACGAATTCCCAAGGGCCAAAAACTGGCCTCGCCCCAGGAAATAAAATGGCGGAAGTATTGTAAATAGCATAATTCATTTCGACATGCCACTGCAAATTTTCTGCATTTCCGGACAACCATACAGAAATCACTGAAGGATGGGCGTCTCAAGCTTGCTGGTATGAAAGTGGATAATGAACCTTTTCCAAAGGTTCAAATTGCCACTATAACAATACGACATACCTCACCAAAAGAAGAATCCTTGCAAGATGATAGACCTCCCCGGGGACGGTCACCATGCAGAGGTAACAAAGGCAAGGAGAAAGTTGAAGATTCTGATATTTCAAAACCACCGCTCAACCGCCGAAATGATTTTATGGTGGATGCACGCAGAACAAGCTCTCGCCCCAATAATGGATCTACCCGGACAATCTATCTTGGTAAGCCACAAGAGCATTCTACCAACAATCATCACGGCGTCGAAATTCATCGCCAGGAAACACATCCGCAGGTTAGAAATCCTCCGCGGAATGGAAATGATCAAATGCCTCTTAACCAAGAAGATCGTGGGCCATACCAATGTTTCAACAACCCACACATCAGAAAATCATTACAGGATAACTATGATCACACTACTCTTGCCCAGAGGGGTCTGGATCAACACACAACTTTCACCAAACCAGTTGTTTAGGTTTTTGACAATTATAGAAATTATGATGTCGACTATAAAAGAGATGTGGAGGCGTATCAACCACGATCACAAGTTCCACGGTCGCATGCAATTGTATTAGGAAATAGGACATAATAGAAAGGAAAATGTCCCGGCGTGATCTAGAATTGCAATATCCTAAGCTTTCTCAATCACAATTACAAAGAATGCAAAGATGATATGCAGCCCGAAAAAAAGAACAACAATGACAATTCATTGGTTCTATTCCTAATGACCTTCCTCCCGACACCCAAAAAGTGATCAAAAAAAAATCAAAATCGGCCAAGTGTTATGGTTGTGGTATTGGATAATAGAAAATGGGATTCTTGGCATCTTAATGGTCGGACATCGCCCCCAAAGAAATCAAGATCTAACCTAATGATTCTATCCGGAAACCAAGTATGCATACATCGGTTGGTAGTATAGCTACCAAATGTATAGCCCGGAAAGAGGACCAAACACCAGATCAACATATATGGTCAAGACATAAAGGCAAGGTTCCATAACCCCAATCTCCAGGCGATATGAGTAATGGCCATCAGGCCAGCTCATCACAGAGCGAAAATCCAATCATCACAATGCGGAATGAAGTTTCTACTGAAACTCCACAAGTAAAATATATGACACCAGAAGACACGGGCAAAGATCCTATCAATCCTGA